ATGAAAGGCCATTTGTCAACAGCATGCCGAAGACCATACCATGAAACAGGAGGAACTCACACAATGGGTAAAGAGCAAGTTTGACCTTGATTTTGTTCCTTTACAAGTGACTATCAGCAGAACTTTAAAAAGAAAAGACCAGCTTTTGGATATAACCTTTCAATAGAAACTGTCACAGAAGCGAAAACATAGTTCCAAATTTTTTCAGTTAGATGAAGCGCTAGCCAATTGGATCATTCAATGCCAATATAAAGATATATTCATCACCGGCGATATAATTAAAACAAAGGCTACTCAATTTGCTAATCAAATAAATATAATTAAGAATATTGTCCACATTTTTCAAATGGATGGCTAGAATCATTTAATACACACCATCAATTTAAATTATTTCATGCACATAGAGAGTCTGCATTTGCAGATACGCAAACAGTTATTGAACATCATTCCAACTTTCATGTTATTATCTCTGAATATAATCTTAAAAATATCTATAATATGGATGAAACTGGACTCTTTTATCATATGGCTCCTGATATTACAATTGCCAGACATCAGATCTCAAGAATGAAGAAAAATAAAACACGTGTTACTATTGCATTTACAGTAAATGCTGATGGTTCCCATCATCTAGATCCATTTATTATTGGACACTTTGTGAAACCCAGAACATTAAAAAAAAAAACTGGTGAACAACTTGATTTTTATTATAGTTCAAACACAAAAGCGTGGATGACTGGATTGCTGTTTCAAGAATGGCTCAGAAAATTTGACAATAAAATGGAGAGCTGCAAAGTTCTTCTCTTGCTTAACAATGCACTATCCCATACTGTTGGTAACATTGAACTTTGAAATACTATTATCAGTTTTTTTTCCCCAAATATAATATCGAAAATCTAACCAATGGATGCAGGGATTATTACAGCATTTAAAAAACATTATCAATGAGAACAACTTCATCACGCATTGGATTTTGATAAACAAGGAGCTACAAACATATATTGCATTGACCAATTTTAAGCCATAAGGTGGATTTTTCAGGTATGGAATAAAATTTTAGCGAAAATATTTGAAAATTGCTGAAATTATACTGGATTAATAAATTTACAAGAAGCTATTATCAATGTTGCAGAATAGGAAATCAATAAAGAGCTAGATGATGTTCTAGCTGCTTTGAAAATTCATAATCCAATGCCTATAGAGAGTTTTTTAAATCATCTTGAAGAATATATTGTTTATAATGAGCTATTTGATCTGCAGCTTATAGAGCTGGCTGGAAGTATAGAAAAGAAAATATCGCAACAAGACAAAAAAATTCTAAAGCTTACTTTAGATGAACAACTTGAAGCGATTTGAAATACTATTCACATCTTTCAGTTGCAAGATTTGACTGAATTGAAATTGATAAACAAATTAAGAAAGGTTCAAAGAAATATCAGAGAAAAGAAGCGAAACAATTTATTTGCTTTAATGACACAAACAAAAATTTCAAGTTTTTTTAGTTCTTAGTTGTGTTATATATAATAATCAGTAACATACAAATTATATCTACATTCATGATATTTAAATCTTATTATAAATAACGATAAGACTATTGAATAAAGGGAACAAGAGTAAAAAGAGATAAATAAATTTTGTAAAACTGTCATCTGAACTGATATGCTACCAGCCTTATTCTAATATAATTAATACTGACCAATCTTCACTCGATATACAGAAACAAACTGATAAGGAAATGAGAATCATACTGATCAAAAACAAGTTGAAACTTGTTTTAAATAAGTTTTAATTTATTATGTATAAATATCGATATGATCATTGTATCATGATAATGTAGTCATGTGATCCATAATCTACCGAAGTACAGATCACAAGATGTGAAGAACAAAAATTCATATATTTATATAATATAAATTTCTTATTTTTCACTCCATATGATGGTCTGCATAATTGAATAATTATAAATTTTTTATTCAATAATCAATTAGACAGTTTATACAATTATACTATAGGAACCATTCTTGTTCCTAGAAATTATATTTATTTATACAAGATATTCATTTAGACAGTATACATTTAGATAGAATTGACTGTATTTGATTTTATAATTTTATATTTTAAAATATTCAATTCAATTTTAATGTATTTGATTTTTATATAGTATAATAATAAACACATGATTTTGGATAAACCAAGTACTGAAATTTTATTAAGAAAAAATAATTATTATAAATATATTTATAGTATATGTATAAATTTTTATTAACTCATAATAATTAATGATATATTTACATTAAATGTTAATATTTGCTTATTTATATTTGAATTTTTATTGTATAAGTATTGAATTATATCCTATCTAATAATGGATCTTTGGCCTTTAATTCATATAAGATATGTAACAAGTTTAAAGGAAATATTGTTTGTTATGTTTTATATATCTTATATAAAGATATTTAATCAATAACAAGATTAATTTCTTACTGATAGTCTTTTGTCTTTTATTACAAGCTTTTTCTAGTATTTCAATTTAACTTTTTTTTTATTAGAAGTGTTTTATTCAATTATTTGAATCTTGTGTGTCATTAATATCTTGTTAAGGAATCAAAGAAACAACTAATTCATGTGAATCTCTCTCAACTCTATTCTTGAAATCAGTGTAAATGGATAAAAAGTTATATAAATTATAAAAAAAGGTATTGGGGACAAAATAAATGATATTATAATGAATCTCTCTAGTAATAGATAAATTTTTATAAAGTAAAAAACAGGAAAAAAAAACACCAATTTGTTCAGAACAAAGTAGAACCATGATTTGTAATTGAAAAAAAAATAATTTATCACTCTCGAAATTATCAAAAGTAACTAAGCAGTAGAAAGAATTTGGCACATTATATTTATTTCAATGGTAATTGCTTATGGTATTGTAATTAATAGCAATCATTGAGAAGATTCCAAAAGCTTCTCATAATAAATTTTCTAGTTTTTTATATAACCTTCTATAAAATTCTTGTATGAATTGATTAACAGAGGTTGATAATGGAACAAGATCATGAAGTAAATTATTAGTACATTCTTGATGATTGATATTGTGCATACTAGCCATATTGGAAGAAGTGAAGAGAAGGTGATTTTTTTTTGTATAGATTTTGAAATGCTCTATGAAATTTACCCAAAACTTGTCACTCCTATAGGAATGATGCTTCAACATATAGAAATAATATTGATCCACAGTATTGGTTGCTTGCACTACAGCATCTTGATCATTTAATTGTTTTAAATGAATTAAAGTTTGATTCTCTTGATTCATAATATACTCTGGTAAAACAACATAATGAAATTGGGCCTACTCTTTCACACATATAAACAAATATTATTAATTATAGAAAATAATAATCATTTTGCAGTTATATTTGTAAAAAAAGCTAATTCATCTGAATTAGATATTAATGAAATTATTAATAAATGTCTTATTAATATTGAAGTATTAGTGAGTGATACTTATACAACATTGCATTGATAATATTTTATATTTAACAAATTTAATTAAAAAATTAAAATTTAAAACAGACAAGAATAAATAGTGAATTATAATCACTTGAAAAAAAATTCAATCTCAAGAAAAATTAATAGAATTCAAAAATAAAATAAAAAATAAATGATTGAAAAATTAAAATATCAATTAATCAATAATTAATTATTTTAAATTATTTTTATTATTATATTTTATTATATTGTGATTATAATACGTATGGAGAAGATATTGGCGATCAAGTTAGAAATTTAAAGTGGTGCGAAAAACCTACACCATCTACGGCCCCGGTTCTACAATCTACAAGGACGTTTTTTTTGTTAACGATTACTTCGAAAGTGGCATTACGATCACCAAATACATGAGGCTAAAGAACAAAAGTAAAATTAGAATTAGCATAATTAAAAAACATTGAATTTATTCCAAACTCACCTGAGGAGCATTTGTGACGGTCACAGCAGAAGAGAAACAACGAAGTCTGGCTTCAACTTTTTCTATTATTTTATTTTATTTTTAAGAGAAATGCTCGGTTAGTTAAACTAAATATTAAGTAAAAATAGAAAAAAGAAATACTTGATATACTATACCATTCTCTTTTAGTCCAAATCCATACCATCTAACTTTTATGGATAATTTATTGGCGCCAGCGTTTCTGATAGTAACCGGATAAGATAAAATTTGTTTGACGGATAATGGTTTGTCGTTGCGAGAAGCAGTGACAAAAAGAAGAGAAATAACAGTGAGAATGAAAACTAAGATTAGTTTTTGATTCATTGTTATTAAGCTTTCTGAGAGGGAAGAAACTTTTCAATTATATAATTCAAGAGAAGGCGAAATAAAACAGCAGCTATATAAGAAAACCGCGTAGTTTATTGATCATCCATTATGTTAAAATTACTAAGATCCTTTAAATGCAATGCGGAAGAGAATATAGTACATGTACATACTAAATATTAATTGAGGTTCCCGTCTTTAAATCATTATCCTAATTGAAAATGGATCGTCTTTATAGAGAATTAAATTATATACATGTAGAATCAATGAATTTCATATGGCATCGCGATCTGCAGATTATTCTCTCTCGGATACTTTATTTACATGTACAAATCATAAACGAAATAGGAAAAGTGTCTCGTTGCGCTACAATGTATCGTATAGTACTAAACTTATAAGGATAACCCACCACGGATTGAAAATGTTCACGTACTAATGAAATTGATTTTGTTTTTCAATTAGTATATACTATCTTCGGTAAAAAAATTCAGTATATATGCGTACGTAACGTCATAATAGAAAATTTTACAATCCCATATAGATAATCATAATCATCATCTTTAAATGCCTCATATTAAAACGTTATAAGCCAATTTCTGATCGAACGATAAATACGATAGCTTGCTCATGCCCTAATCTTCGCCACCTTTCTTTAACAGGTTGCCATAATATCACTGATAATTCGGTTAATAAAATGTTACAACAAATTCATAATTTGAACTTGACCAGTCAGTGTAGACTTATTACTGATTCATTTATTAGCGATATTACTAACTTTTGCCCGAAGCTTGAACATCTCGATATCGGAGGCTGTGATGTTTCTGATATAGTCATCTGTAATATTGTACGCTCGTGTAAAAAATTAAAGTATCTCGATATCAGATATTGCCGTCTCATTACTAATACATACTGTATACTGTATTAATGAAATTGCTCAGCATTGTTTAAACTTGGAATTTCTTTCTATAGTAGGTACAAATGTTGGTAAAGATGCGTTAAGTAAACTTAATCCAAAAATTAAGATAAAGCGGGATTCGACACTTGATATGGAGCCAGAAGAACTCGATGAACTCCGGACATCACTTGTTTATTTAGTAGGGGATCTATGGTTAACTTATGCAAATCTTGGAGATATTGTACAATATTGCGAAGACAAGATTAAAGATAATTATTATCAAAAGTCAATTGTGGAATTGAAGCGAGATATGAGAAATATGGCTGAAAGACTGGGTTTGATGATAAGTATCTACGGCCTTCAACCTACAAACCCAGAATTAAATACTAAATTTGCTATTACTGAGTTTGTTCCGCGTGATATAAAGTATCTAGGTAAGGAATCCTTATCTTCGCATATGAAATTTCCTAGATAAAACTATTTAATAAATTTTCCAGATCTCTTGTGATATTTCGTTCTAATTCAATTAGAATTGATCTTAAACGATTAATAAATCCAGAAATGAATCTGTTTGCATCCACTAGATTCTGTTCATTATCATCATCGGAATCAGAATCAGAAGTGTTAGACGAACCAGAATCGGACTGTTCATTGGGAATAATCCTACTAGTATCTCTGATATAATTATTGATTGCAGAAATAAAATCTGTTCTATCTAATGACATCATCATCGCTGGGATCAGAATCAGAATTGTCGGACGAATCAGAATCGGACTGTTCGTATGATGAATCATAATTTTCAATATGTATACTTGAATCAAGTTGTTTTACTACTTTTTTACTAATATTTTCACAATCTTCCAAATCAAGATATTTTAAATTAGGACACGATTGTGATATTTCTCTGATAGTTTCATTGGAAATATTGCAGTACTCGAGATTGAGGTGTTGAAGTTTAGAACAAAATCGGATAGATTCGCTAATAACTGATTCAGAAATAAAATCGCAGGTTGAAATATCAAGGTGCTCTATATTACTATCCGAATAAATACCTAGTTTGGTAATTTGGCAACCTGATATATCAAGATACTTGAGTTTCTGGCAATAATAAATAATATCACAAATGGATTCATCAGATATATTACATCCAAAGACATCAAGATATTCTAGATTTTGACAAGAGTGAGCAATTGCTTTAAGGTTAGTGACATTTGGACAACCTGAAATTGTGACGTTTTAATCTTGGACATGTCCTTTCTAATTAATTTGTTGTCTGATTAGTGATACTTTTGGAATCATGAAAATAAAATTCTTCCAAGTTACAACATGATTGTGATATTATACAAATAGATTAATATGAAAGTTAATAGCTGTATATGTTAAAATACTTTAAATTATGACACTTATTTGAAACTCTACATACAGATGCATCGGTAAGTAAATCATTATTATGGATATTAATGGATATTAAGATATTCTAAGTTTGGATATGTATCTGCAATCTTAATTAATACTTTATTATTAAAATGACAGTCTTTAAGATCAAGATATATAGTATGGTGCAAAAAATTTTGGAATATTATTTATATAATATAAATATCCATAACTTTTTCAAAACAAAAGTAATTCATGTGAAATTTTAAATATGTAAACAACATATTTCAAACAATATATATAGGTACTTAAAATTATTTGATCATTTTATTTT